TTTTTTATTTAATATAAAAATATTATTAAAAAACTTCTATGATTTTTAGATTTTTAACAAAGCTACTGAACATATGTCAAAATCACAATATATTACACTTTCCTCTTCTATTTCTATTTATAATGTATTACTTGGCTATCTAGAAAAAATTTTAGATACTAAAAGTAATTATTGCTTGGAAATACGTACTGCTGTATTAAAAGGATATGAAAAACTTAAAAAATATTATATTAAAACAGATAAGTCATATGTTTATTCTATAGCAATAAGTAAGTAAATTTTTTATTTTTCTTAAAATTAAAATATATATAATATTTTAATTTTTATATTTATTTATTATTTAGTATTAGATCCTAGAATTAAATTGCAATACTATCAAATACAAGAATGTGAGCAAGAATATATAGATGCAGTATTAGAAGCCGTTACAAATATTTATAATAAGAATTATAAACATAATTTACCAATTATTATCGATAATGAAGTTGATAATCCAAATGATTTTCTTGTTAATGTTTTTGAAAAAAGTAATAAAATTAATAAAGATAAATTAGAAGATTATCTTCAAAAACCTGTAATTTCATTTAAGACAGATCCATTACAATGGTGAAAGATAATTATATTTTATTAATTATTAATTTAAGAAAGATTTATTAATTTATATTATATATATATAGACATATAAAGAAACTTATCCACAACTTGCATCTATGGCACAGGATTTTTTATCTATACCAGGTAAATAAGAAATTTTTTTAAAATATTTTTTAATTTTTTTATAAATTTAATTTTTATTCAATATATAGGTATAAGTGTACCTGTTGAAAGAATATTTTCAGATAGCATTGATTTAATTACAAAGAAAAGAACTAGTTTAAATCAAGAAAGTATTAGAGCATGTATGTGTCTTAAAAATTGGATAAAATTTTTAAGATTATAATAATTTTATAATTTTTTTTTACTATTTTTGTTATAGTAAACTTTTTAGTAATTTTTTATTAATGTATTAAACAAAAAAAGTGATAAAAAAATAGTGAAAAGAATATAAATACATTTTTTTTTATAATAAAATAATTATAATGAAATTGATTAACTGAATTAAAAATTGTTTATTATATTATTATTTATATTAAATATTTTTTAACGAATAAATAGAAAAAATTTTCTTTTTTAGATCAGTTCAGGTCAGGTCAGATCAGGTAAACTTGACCTGACAGGTTGATCAATCAAATTGAATATATAATTAATATATTAAAATTTATCGTTTAAATAATATTTAAACTATATAAACTTAATTTTATAGTTTATATAGCATAAAAATTTTAAAATTAATATAGTAATGCAACTTTTAATTTTTTTTAAAATATTTTATATGTAAAATTTATATATGAAATATTTTTAATTTTTAAAAACATTTGTTCAGTATATTAAATATATATAAATTTTTTATTTAAATTTAACAAAAACTGATTCAAATAGCTTTAATGTAAACTATACTTATTAGTTTTGCATTATTTTATTTAAAAATATAAAAATAATTAAAAAATTAAGAAATAAAAAAATTAAAAAAAAAATATAAAATATTATTTTTTTAAATAATTTGACTAAATTAAGTTAAATTAAAACAGATCAGGTCAGGTCAGTTCAGGTCAGGTCAAATAAAAATTTAAATCAGATCAAATTTTTATTTGACCTGACCTGATTCTCTCAGTTCAGGTAACTTAATTAATCTAACTGAACTGATCTGTTCGGAGCTCTAATTAATCCTATGATAATAATTTGAAATGAAACTAACTGGATTACTATTTAACATGACATAACGAGATTTATTAATTTTCCTTGAGTCTATTAAAGCAAAAACATGTTTTATACCATGTGATCTCTAATATCATAATCATTCTTACGCGTATATTAACTTTGACAACTAAAATGATTATAACTCTGCGATCAAATCTTAATACAAATTTAAATTAAATATCTTATTCTGGGTCAATCCTGCTATTTCTCACTGTAAAAGATGTGGTAACCCTGATCATAAAGCTAAAGACTGTGCCTCTCAAAGACTTTTAAACCCATATAGGCAATTACGATCATTTCAAATCTGCTACTTATAAACTTTCTCAAAAAACTAATATGCGTACAAATAACTATACTGTAAATGTATAATCAAACCAAAGTTAACGAAGTTCATATGCTAATGCTCTAAAAACTACTAAGAATCCTAAGCATCAACAATAAATCTCAGATATCTCTACAGCTTTAAACGATATTTTGAAACGTTTGAATGATATAGATAATAAGCTGATTATTCTTAATGATAAAATTATTACAGCAAAAAATGAAATCATTATTCTACAAGAAAACTAACAGGACATAGATTATCGCATAACTAAATTAGAAAAAAGTAACAATATTATTTATACTAAAGGCATATATGACAGTGAAATGGATTTTGATGATTTTTCAAAACTACCACTCGATTTATCATATGATCGACCTCCTTTAAATCTTTCGACTAATACATCTCCTTTAGATAAAGTTACTAGATTAGAGAATCAATTTGTAGAATCCTGATCTAAAATCAAAAATATTACGAATAGCATCTAATAGATCCTTCAAACGCTTCCTTCTTCTTCTAAATGAGTGTATAACTAACTAATTATAATATAGGATCGCATCATGAATCCTCATAATAATAATTTCTTTCAAACGATTCTTTCACAAATATTATCAACAACCCAAATCTCATCTCCTTTGCAATACATAATATTAAAAACTGTTCATCAGAATCTAAACTTCAAAATATTGACTCTTTTTTTAACAACTTTAACATAAACATATTAGGATTAAGTGAAACTCATCTTAACCTATTACAAGTTCATCATTTTAATAAAACATTCATAACAAATCTTTTAAATATTTTTTTCACTCTTATAATCGTTATCAAAACTGTCAAGGTGTTGAATTGATAGTTCGTAACAATCTAAGCACATATATTTTTAATCAAGCTTTATTTTTTGATCGTATTATTTACCTTGACTTTCAATTCAAAAACAAATTCAAACTTCAGGTTATTCAAGTTTATTTACCTGCTTCTTATTATGATAAAAAAGATTACTGATATTGTCTTCAAGTCTAAAAAAAACTGATGAATATTTTAATAGATAGTTTATGTCATAATTTTCATATCACTCTAATGGAAGATTTTAATATAGACATAAGTAGAAAATATAGATCAAACTTCAAAAACAGCTGTAAAATTTTCTTAATAATATCATTAACCTTAGTTTCATTCATACTCTCACCCCCTTTTAATCCACATACCCCTTAGGGGAGGGTCAGAAATGACGTCATTCTATAAGGGGGAGGGGGTGTATCCATGATGACATTACATAAGTCCATTTTAAGAAAGAGATTTGTGTTTCATTTTATCCAACCATCGCATCATAAATTTACTGCGCGTCATGTTTAATTAAACTAATTAAACTTGAATTTAATGCTTTTTAGTATTACAACTAGTTATAAGGTTTTTTTAGTATTACAACTGGCCTTAAAAAAATCATCTCGCTTTAATCTTTATTTTAAAAATGTAGGAATTTCACGCTTTATATTAAAAATGGAGGAATTTTTTTCTTATGTTTGTTGCGTTGCAGGTTTTTTTATCCTTACGATGTAACAAACATATTTTCGAAAACACAAATACTCTAAGAGACCTTATTTTGAAGCCACAAAACCTTTATGAACAATATATTAACGCTTTTGCATTTTTAGTAATAGTAAAAAGCTATAATATTGCTTCTAACAAAAAGAAGCTCCAGCTTCAAGCACAAAGTAATTGGCGAGAAATCAAAAAAAACAGTAAAGATAATATTGAAAGTCTTATTTCTGAATTATTAAGGACATCTATTCAACCTTTCCCTTTACTTTTTTTTCACAATCTTCACAGCGGAACTCTATAGTTGAACCTTCAACATCCCTTCCAGAAACTCTTCCAAATACCCCTAATAATACACAACTTCCATCTA